AATTAATTAATTAATTAAATAAATCTTTTTAAGGAAAAGCTAGCCAAATGCAAGAGGAATGATTTCATTAGAAAAGCATCATTTGCAGTTCCTAATGAAATAACAGATCTAGTCAACAGTGTCAGTGGTTGCTAAGACTATTAGGTGAAAGTAGATGGAGAACTTTATTAGATGTACTGACATGGCCTACAATCTTAAAATTACTAACTATGAGAAAAAGACATTATATTCCTCCTGATATGTTGCTATGTAGATGGGAAGTACACAGAACTATCTATGAAATATTCTTTTTTTTTAAGATTTGATTTGAAAGAGAGTGTGCATGAGCAGTGGGTGGGGAGGGGTAGAAAGAGAGGGAGAAGTAGACTCCCCACTAATTCCCCTCAATCCTAGGACCCCAAGATCACGACCTGAGCCAAAGGCAGACACAAAGCCACGACTGGAATATTCTTAAAAAGATAAAAAATTTAGGGGCGCCTGGGTGGCTCAGTTGGTTAAGCGACTGCCTTCGGCTCAGGTCGTGATTCTGGAGTCCCTGGATCGAGTCCCGCATCGGGCTTCCTGCTCGGCAGGGAGTCTGCTTCATCCTCTGACCCTATCCCCTCTCAGGTGTTCTCTCTCTCTCATTCTCTCTCTCTCAAATACATAAAAATAAAATCTTTAAAAAAAAAAAGATAAAAAATTTAAAACTGAACCTTAATCTGTATCTGACTCTAAACACCAAATGACAAGAAGTAAAGAAAATAGAGGAACATATTGAATACACAAAGGAGAATAAAACCAACCAAATTCAGAATGTAAAAAATGTTATAGGATAAATGATACAGTTTCTTCAACAAACAAATGGTATTTTAAAGGGAAGGGGGAGAGGGGCACCTGGGTGGCTCAGTCAGTTAAACATCTGACTTTTTTTTTTTTTTTAAGATTTTATTTATTTATTTGACAGAGAAAGACACAGCGAGAGAGGGAACACAAGCAGGAGTGGGAGAGGGAGAAGCAGGCTTTCGCTGAGCAGGGAGCCCGATGCAGGGCTCGATCCCAGGACCCTGGGATCATGACCTGAGCCGAAATCAAGAGTTAGGCACTTAACCGACTAAGCCACCCAGGCGCCCCAAACGTCTGACTCTTGATTTCAGCGCTGGTCAATGATCTCAGGGTTGTGAGATAGAGCCCCAAGCTGGGATCCACACTCAGTGGGGAGCCTGCTTGAGATTCTCTCTTTCTCTCACTCTCCTTCTGCCCCTCTCCCCACTCACATGTGTTCTCTCTAAAATAAATAAATAAATAAAATCTTTTTTAAAGGGGGAGAAACTGGATATTATTATATAGATATAGATATGCATATACATAAGGAGGGGAGTATTAAGAGACATAATAACCAAAAGCAATATGTGAAGATCTTTTTTGGACCTTAATTTAAATAAACCAGTTAGAAATAGGTATTCAGCAGCTGCCAAAAATAAGGAAGATCTCAAAAAAAAGGAAGATCTCTATGAACTGTGATTTCTAAAATATATTGGTTTTTTTTTGTTTTTTGGGGTTTTTTTAAGATTTTTATTTATTTGAAAGAGAATGAGAGAGAGAGAGCATGCGCGCACGCGCGTGAGAGGGGGGAGGGTCAGAGGGAGAAGCAGACTCCCCACTGAGCAGGGAGCCCGATGTGGGACTCAATCCTGGGACTCCAGGATCATGACCTGAGCCGAAGGCAGTCGCTTAACCAACTGAGCCACCCAGGTGCCCCCTAAAATATATTGTTAATGGAAAAAAGTAAAGTGCAGGGATGCCTAGGTGGCTCAGTCCTTAACCATCTGCCTTTGGCTCAGGTCATGATCCCGAAGTCCTGGGATCGAGTCCCACATCTGGCTCCTTGCTCACTGACAAATAAATATTTTAATAAATAAAACAAGCTTCACTGACTCTTTAAAAAAAAGAGAAAAGTAAAGTGAAAAAGTGCATATATACGGGTGTCTGCCTGGCGCAGTTGGTACAGCAAGCATGTATGAACTTGAGTTTGAGCCATACGTTGGGTGTGGAGTCTACTTTAAAAAAAAAAGAGTATACCTAGTATGCTACTTTGTATGTAAGGAGATGAAAATAACATATGCATCATTTAATTTTGCAGAAAGAAACAGAAAAATAAAACAAATGAACAAAATAGGTTAACTACCATGGTGTGGGGATGGCAAAGTGGAAAAGCAAGGGAGAGAGGGATACTTAATACAACTTTCTATATAGTTTTGACTTTTAGAATTACATTAATAAACAAGAATGGGGGGGACATAAAACCTAATACAAAGAGAAGCAAATCCGACTATATTTCAAATGAGTAAAATAACCACAATGAAAAGAAAAAGGATTAATTCAAGTAACTTTTAAATACAGTATTTTGACTCAAACTGAAGATAAAAAGAACTACAAACAAATCTCAAATTCTTCTTAGTAGGTCTGTTTTTCCTAGGGGTAGGAGTATAGAAATTATGAAGCTATTTTTTGTGTATGGTGGGACTGAGGAAATGCATGTATATATCTGTTGATGGGAGCCAGTACTTTCACTGTAGAAGAAATGGAAAACAATTAAAGAATGGGGAAAGGTAAAGAAGAGCCCTAAGGGGCTGGATAAGAACTAGAGATAATCGGGCGCCTGGGTGGCTCAGTTGGTTAAGCGACTGCCTTCGGCTCAGGTCATGATCCTGGAGTCCCTGGATCGAGTCCCGCATAGAGTCCCGCATCGAGTCCCGCATCGAGTCCCGCATCGAGTCCCGCATCGGGCTCCCTGCTCGGCAGGGAGTCTGCTTTGCCCTCTGACCCTATCCCCTCTCATGTGTTCTCCCTCATTCTCTCTCTCAAATAAATAAATAAAATCTTAAAAAAAAAAAAAAAAAGAACTAGAGATAATCAGTATAAAAACTCATGATTTCTAGCTCTGTCTTCTAAAAGGGCTTATACAGGGGCGCCTGGGTGGCTCAGTCATTAAGCATCTGCCTTCCGCTCACGTCACGATCCCGGGGTCCTGGAATCCAGCCCCGCAGCGGGAAGCCTGCTTCTCCCTCTCCCTCTCCCACTCCCCCTGCTTGTATTCCCTCTCTTGCGGTCTCTATCTCTGTCAAATAAATAAATAAAATCTTTTAAAAAATAAAAATAAAAAAAATAAAAGGGCCTATAGAAGCAGTGACACTTTAGTAGCAATGAGCAAACCTAGCACCCAGATTTTGGGTTCTTTTCTTTCTTTTTTTTTTTTTTTAAGATTCTACCCACTCATTTGAGAGAGAGAAAGCACAAGCGGGGTAGGGGCAGAGGGAAAGGGAGAAACAGATTCCCTGCTGAACACAGAGCAGGACGTGGGGCTTGATCCCAGGACCCCGAGATCATGACCTGAGCCGAAGTCAGATGCTTAAGCAACTGAGCCACCCAGGCACCCCCAGATTTTGGTTTCTAGGTACCATTCCTCAGTAAGAGAAACCAGGGCTCCTTGAAAAAACAGCTGATTTCAGGGCAGAGATAGTGAAGGAAACAGATGGCCCTGGAACATCTTGTTCCAAAGTAAAGAAGCAAACATATAATGGGGGCATGTCAAAAGAAACAGGACCAAGGGGTGCCTGGGTGGCTCAGTCGGTTAAGCATCCGACTCTTGGTTTCAGCTTAGGTCATAGTCTCAGGGTTATGGGATCAAGCCACACCTAGGGCTCCATGCTGTGAGGACAGAGTCTGCTTGGGATTCTTTCCCCCTTCCACTCCCCCCGCCCCATCCCCACCTTGCATGCACATATGCGCGCGCGCTCTCTCTCTCAAATAAATAAATAAATAAAATCTTCGAAGAAAGAAAAAGGACCAAGATAGATGGGCCAAATCCCACAGGTCAAATTTGAGACACTCTTAGCATCAAAATAAAGAAGATGAGCAACAGGTTACAATCTATTAAATAAAGAATAAATGAGGCCACACTGGTTTGAGGATAGATGTGGAAAATCATTTTACAACTATCATAGTAAAAACTGATTCAGGAAAGATGTGGATAGATGTGGAAAATCACCATTTTGATTCAGGAACCATCAACAGATGCTAAACGAGGCAGAGGGAGAGGGAGGATTCTTATAAGGCACAGGATATTTACATAATCTGGAGGTATTTCCCCACAACTGCAGCTGACCCTTGCACAACACAGGTTTGAACTATGAGGATCCACTTATACACAGATTTTTTTTCAATAAATATGGTATAGTACTGTAAATGTATTTTCTCTTATGATTTTATTAATGCCATTTTTTTTCTACCTTACTATATTATAATACAGCATATAATATATACAACATACAAAATATGTGTTAAATATTTGTGTTAACAGTAAGGCATGGCCAACTGTAGGCTATTAGTAGTTCAGTTTTTCCGGAGTCAGATTTTCAACTGCAAGGGATTGGGGGTTTGCACCCCCAACCCCCACATGCTTTAAAGGTCAACTGTACTTAATTTGCAAAAAAGGAAAAAATAACGGTGAACAGGAAAAAAAAAATGGTAGTGGAGAAAACAGATTAACAACTTATATGAGGGAGCCATCATGCTCCTCTGATTGTGATAATTTGAAAAAGACATAACATTATTTATATAGTATTCCAACCAAAAAATTCAAACCTAACTCTATTCATGAGGAAACCAATTCATATTGAAGACTTTGATATAAATGGGCTATTAGTCCTTAAAAAAATCAATATCCTGAGAAACAAAGGCTCAAGAACTTTTCGAAGCTAAAGAAGATTAACAATATAAGACAACTAAACGAAATGAAATATCCTGGACTGTATCTTGTACTAGAAAAGACAATTCGTTGTAAAGGATATTATTGTGACACTTGACATAACCGGAAATACGAACTATAGCACAGATAAAAGTAACATATCAATGTTAAACTTCATGAATTTGATAAATGTACTTGTTTACATAAAAGATATCATTGCTCTTAGGAAATACATATTGTACTACTTGAATAGCAAGGCAGAAAGAGGGATGATGTATGCAATCGACTCTCAAATAGTTCAGAAAAAAACGTGTGTGTGCACATGTATAAAGAGAAGGAAAAAGCATGGGCAAAACGTAAACAAGTAGGCAAACTGGGTAACAGTATAGGAGTTCTTTAGTGTTATTTTTGCAATTTTTCCATAAACCTGAATTTCAAATTCAAAAAAGATGAAAATTGAATATGACAGGGTATTAGATGACATTGAGGAATTAATGTTATATTTGGTGGTATGTGGTAATTCTATTATGGGTTTGGGTTTGGTTGGGTTTTTTTTTTTTTTTTAAGGGTTCTTACCTCTCCTAGATATGAGAGATACAGTATATACTTAGGTATTTATGCCAGGAATTTGCTTTAAAATACTTCAGAAGGGGGCGCCTTGGTGGCTCAATCGGTTAAGCATCTGCCTTCGGCTGAGGTCATGATCCCAGGGTCCTGGGATGGAGCCCCACATCTGGCTCCCTGCTCAGCTGGGAGTCTGCTTCTCTCTCTCCCTCTGCCTCTGCACCTAACCCCGCTCTTGCTCTCTCTCTCTCTCAAATAAATGAAATAAATAAAAGCTTTTAAAATAATAAAAAAATATTTCAGAAGTATGGTCAACTAAAATGTAAAGGATAAAAAGATGGCTCAAGGTGTAAAGATAGAGTCCTACAGGATTTGATGATGGATGGTCTTTCATCTTTTAGAACTCCTAAAAGATGTTCTCACCTCCTGTTTTAGGGCAAAGATTATTTCTGCCTCATAGAGAACTGGCAATCAAAACACTGTAAACATCACGAAACGAGTAAAATTAGTAACAAAACATAGTAAACATCACGAAACGAGTAAAATTAGTTAATGGTAGAAAGAAATTTAAAAAACAATAAACTCAATCACACAAAATATGTGAGGAGGAAAAATGTTAAGTCTACCCCAAAAAAGTACCTCTATTCAAAACTTATTGGCGAACGCAATTTCCAGAGAATAATTCAAGTTCTTCTGTTTTTTTCCACCACAGACGAGCCTAAGAAATCGCATCTATTCCTCAGTGCTCAATTTACACTAAAGAACGTCAAACAGAAGCTTCCCCACGACCACCTCGCACAAATCACTGGGTCATCCCCAGGGACCCCTCCGGGGTTTTCTACCCGACCCTGCGGCGTAGGCTTGGGAGGGAGGGCGGCCGTCCGCCCCGTGGGGTGCTCACCGCGGCGCCCCCCTGGACCGCCAGGGGCCGGAGGACTAGGGTCCGGCCGAGGGCTGGCGCGCACCGGAGGTCGTCCCACGCCGGCGGGAGGGCGACCCGGCTCCCGGAGCTCCCGCGCCTCCGTCAGCCCGAGGATGCTGCGGCGGGAGGGCGACGCGGGGAGGCTGGGGAGGGCCGAGCGCGAGGGAAGGACGAGGGCACGGGGTGCGGCGGCAGAAGACGGGGAGTGAGAGGTGAGGGAGGTCGCGGACGGGCACGACGCGAGGGTGGAAGTAGCGACCGAGGAAAGCGGGCGGCCCCGCCATGCGGGGAGGGGGCGGCGGCCGTGAGCGGCAGGAATCTGCGGGCAGTTACCTGGGTCGGGGCCCCGCCCGTCCGAGGCGGGGAAGGCGCGGCGAGGCGGAGGGCGAAACCCGAAGCGTGGCGAGGAGGCGGAAGGGCGCCCGTCGAGGGCCCCCGCCAAGGGCCCAGCCGTCCGCCCAGACCAGACGCGAGCCGGCGCCGTGGCGACGGCGAAGGGCGGGGAAGAAGACGCTGGCACCGCCAAGGCGCCTGCTCGCAGCGGGCCGGGAGCGCGGGCGGGAAGTTCGTGATGCTCCTCCCTCCTTCCTCCTCTTCCCCCTGCCGCTCCGTGTTCCCGCCCCTCGTTTTCCAAGCCGCCCGGAGCTCTCGGCTCCAGGCTTCCGCCTCCCGCTACCGGGCTCCCGCGCGGGCTCCCACTGCCCGCCCCCCGCCCCGGTCTCCTCAGCTTCCGCCAGGGGTTCATCCCTTCGGCGCGCTTCAGACGCTGGCCTCTTGAGTGCCCAGGAGCTGCGCGGCGCTTTTCCGGGAACTGTTTACTAGCCGACTAATGTGTAACTCCCGGGATGTCACCTCCCTTGTGGAGACCTCCCAGGACCCGTAAATAAAAGGGTCACACAAGGCACTCCACAGATCAGATGTGCAACCTACAGCACTAAGGAAAGCGTGTCTGTACTCGCCATCCTAGTGACTTGTTAGTTTACGATAGTTTTGGCTTCCTTTGCCCCAGTCCTAGTCCAGCGTACTGACTGGGGACAGGGGTCACCAACAACCAGCTCTAGAGTTCTGTCTAGCCTGAAAAAGCATTTTTTCCTGTAACTTAAATTTTAATGCCTTAGGCAGTGGCATGTTCTGTTTCCCTCCTCACCCTTCTCTTACACGTTGATGTCATGGGCCTGGTTTGGGAGATTTTGTTTTGTATTCTACAGTGTTTCTTTATTGAGCATTTGCTTCATTCTGCATTTACACTATAATAACATTACCGAAGTTCTCATACATAAACATTTGTGTACAATCTGGTTTTATTCTTTAATATCAGAAACAATGAGTCAATATATATGTTAAAGTTTTTGACTTAGTGTTTCTCAATTCTGGCTGCATATTAGAATTATTTGGAGAGCTTTTAAAAAAATGTTGGCACTTGGGGTCCACTACTGAAGATTCTGATTTGATTGATCCGGGATAGAACCCACGTCTGTCTTGCGTTTAGAAGTTCCCCAGGTCTGGCAGTGCCTAGGTGGTTCAGTCCTTTGAGTGTAGACTCTTGATTTGGCTCAGGTCATGATCTCAGGGTAGTGAGATGAGCCCCGGGTCAGGCTGGCTGTGGACGTGGAGCCTGCTTGAGCTTTTCTCCCTCTCTCTCTGCCTCTCCCCCTGCTTGTGCTCTCTCTTTCTCGCTCTCAAATAAATAAATAAAATCTCTAGAAGTTCCCCTGTCTTTACTGGAATTAAAATGTAAAAAAATAAAAATCATACTTAAAAAATAAAATAATATTTCCCCAGGTGATTCAAATGTGAAGTCAAGATAGAGCCTGATATGTATATTACAAAATCGACATTCTTAATCATAATACTAATTCACAGGCCTCCAGCATCATGAACATTGCATATTGGCCTCATTTGAATCTTTGTCAAATAGGTGACAATGGTAACTCATTATCTTAATATGCATTTTTGATTTCTAGTGAGATTGAACATTTTTCAAATATTTACTCTCCATTTGTAGTTTTCCTTTTATGAATTGTCTATATTTCCTGACCATTTGTTCAATTGCATTGTTCAAGTTTTTATTATTGTAAATAATTACTTATGAGAATTAAGTAATTATTCTGCCAAATAGAGCAAATTTGGCACCCAAGAATCAAGTAATTTTACTTGGAGACTTGAAACTGAAAATGAAAACTTTGTTAGGTGGTATCTATCTTCCTTTTTTTTTTTTCCTCATTAAACTTTTGTTTTAGGGGCACCTGGGTGGCTCAGTCATTAAGTGTCTGCCTTCGGCTCAGGTCATGATCCCAGAGTCCTGGGATCAAGCCACACAACGGGCTTCTTGCTTGGCGGGAAGCCTGCTTCTCCCTCTCCCACTCCCCCTGCTTGTGTTCCCTTTCTCACTGTGTCTCTCTCTCTGTCAAATAAATAAATAAAATCTTTAAAAATAAATAAATAAATAATAAACTTTTGTTTTAATGGGTCTCAAAATTCTGTGACAGATTTTTGGTCAAGTTGTTTCCATTAAAAAGTACTGATTTTAAAAACGAATAACTTAAAACTAATAACTTAAATACACACACAAAAAAATCAAGTGGTCCACAAAACATTCTCCTTTCCTTCTGAGGGTTTTACAAATGCACTGTTATCATTAACCAGTCTTTTACTATGAAACCTAAATGGCCAATTGACACAAACCGTTCTGAGACCATTCTTCCACCACTCATTAAGACTGGGGTGGCAGGTATTGAGGATAATATTCATTTAGCTTTCTGAGCTTTCTGGGCAGACTTGGTAACCTTACCACCTCCAGCTGCCTTCTTGTCCACTGCTTTGATGACACCCACATTAACTGTCTGTCTCATGTCATGAACAGCAAAATGACCCAGAGAAGGATAGTCAGAGAAGCTGTCAACATACATAGGCTTGCCCGGAAACATATCAACAATGGCAGCATCACCAGATTTCAAGAACTTGGGACCATCTTCCAGCTTTTTTCCAGAACAACGATCTATCTTCTCCTTCACCTCAGCAAACTTGCAAGCAATGTGAGCTGGGTCACAGTCCAGCACAGGTACATATCCAGCACTGATTTGACCTGGCTGGTTCAGGATAATCCTCTGAGCCATGAAGCCAGCTGCTTCCATGGGTGGGTCATTTTTGCTGTCACCAGCCACGTTGCCACGATGAACATGTTTTACAGATACATTCTTGACATTGAAGCCCAACTGTCCCCAGGAAGAGCCTCACTTAAATCTTCGTGGTGCATTTCAACAGACTTTATTTCAGTCGTAACATTGACTAGAGCAAAGACGACCGCCATGCCAGGTTTAAGAACACCAGTCTCCACTTGGCCCACAGGGACAGTACCAATACCACCAATTTTGTAGACGTCCTGGAGAGGCAGATGCAAGGGCTTCTCAGTTGGACGAGTAGGTGACAAAATGCAATTGCAATCCAGAGCTTCAGGCAGTGTGGTTCCACTGGCATTCCCATCTTTACGGGTGATTTTCCATCCCTTGAACCAAGGCATGTTAGCACCTGGTTCCAGCATGTTGTCACCATTCCAACCAGAAATTGGCACAAATGCTGTTGTGTTGGCGTTGAAGCCAAGTTTCTTAATATAGGTGCTGACTTCCTTAATGATTTCCTCGTATCTCTTCTGGCTGTAGGGTGGCTCAGTGGAATCCATTTTGTTAACACCAACAATTAGTTTTTTACACCCAGTGTGTAAGCCAGAAGGGCATGCCTGTTCTTAGAGATACCTGCTTCAAATGCATCAACACAAGCAGCCACAATCAGGACAGCACAGTCAGCTTGAGATATGCCTGTAATCATGTTTTTGAGAAAGTCTCTGTGTTCTGGGGCATCAGGACATAGTATTTGCTGGCCTCAAATTTCCACAGGGAGGTATCAAGGGTGATACCACGTTCACAGTCAGCTTTCAGTTTAGCCAAGACCCAGGCATACTTGAAGGAGGCCTTTCCCATCTCAGCAGCCTCCATCTCAGATTTTTCGATAGTTCTTTTGTCGATCCCACCACATTGGTAGATCAGATGGCTGGTAGTGGTAGACTTGCCCGACTCTACATGTCCAATGGCGATGATGTTGAGGTGAGTCTTTTCCTTTCCCATTTTGGTTTAGGTTTAGCAGTAAATGTATGACACCTGTGTTCTGGCAACAAACCTGTTGTGAAAAAACTAGGTGGTATCTATCTTTTTTTTTTTTTTAGGATTTTATTTATGTATTTGACAGAGAGAGAGAGAGAGCACAAGCAAGGGGAGGGGCAGGCAGAGGGAGAAGGAGAAGCAGGCTCCACGCTGAGCAGAGAGCCTGACGTGGGGCTCCATAGCAGCACCCTGGGATCATGACCTGAACCAAAGGCAGATGCTTAACTGACTGAGCCGCCCAGGCACCCCGATATCTATCTTCCATATAAAGAAGTGAATGTCACTGATTCAATGAATGGGTAGTAATGATAGCTTTGTACTGTGTCAACTTGGCTATGCTGAATCCCCTTCCCAAAATATTATTTAAAAGTATCATTTCTGCTATGGTAGCAAAAGGCTACAGATGTCTCAGATCCTACACTGTCACACTGCACCAACCTGAAAAAAAAGATCTATTTCTTCAACCTCTGCTTCACTCTGATTGGAACAATTTAAGTCACATATCCACTTTGAGTCAATCCCTTGTCCTAAAAAAGAAAAAAAAAGCATTGATTGGTTTAGGCTTTAGTTAAGTGTCATTTATAGACTAATCACTGTGACAAGGTAAGTTACAAGATTGCAGTAGCAATAGCTAATCATGGATTTTCCCTGTCACCTGAAATGTGGCCATTTTATATTTTAAGTATGCTTCCCATTGCTTGTCATTTGGAGGGTCAATTTATCAAGTACTTGGGCAGACAATGAAGAAGTATCCAGAAGTCATTTTGACCATCTTCCAGTTCAACAGGAACTATTAAACTGAATTATGCAATCTGTTAGAGTTGCCAGAGTTGTCAGAGACAAAAGACTATTTCTCATGGCAAGCACTATGGATCCATATGTCATCTCAGTAATAGGGACTCATCCTCTGATTTCTCTTCTGAGGCTATAGTTCATTTTTTTTTAAAGTTTTTTATTTATTAATTTGACAGAGAGGGAGAGACAGCCAGAGAGGGAACACAAGCAGGGGGAGTGAGAGAGGGAGAAGCAGGCTCCTCAGTGAGCAAGGAGCCTGATGCGGGGCTCATTCCCAGGACCCTGGGCTCATGACCTGAGCTGAAGGCAGACGCTTAACGACTGAGCCACCCAGGCGTCCCTGAGGCTACACTTCAGAAAGAGACCCACAACAACTGTGTAACCTGACAGATGAACTGTGCTGGGATGCTTTGATAGTTTACCAAGCTGCTGTTCGTTCTTTATCTTTAGATGA